GAGAATGTAGGGGTGAACCTGCTTCCTTGTCTTTTTTGGCTTCTAGAATCTTCTTTCTTTGACTCATGATTCCTCTTTCTATTCCTAAAGCTGGCAGTGTAGTGTCTTCAAATCTTTCTGACTTCTGTTTCCATTTTCACATGTCCTTCTCCCACTCTGGCCTTCCTGCCTCCCTCCATAAGGACTCTTGTGATTATCTTGAGTCTCCCTTTCTAAGACCCTAACTTTATTTCATTTGCAAAAATCTCTTTAAATGTAAAAGGTAACATATTAACAAGGCATAGAGATTAGGGTGGAACACCTCGGGGAGCTTCTTTCAGACTGCCATTTACTTTCATAAATAAAGACAAGCCTGGCAGCCGGGAGAACGGAACCAGTGTTCAGCAGGCTGATTTTAGGGGGACTGGACAGGACACTGCTATGAGGTCAGCAATGAAGACGCTGTTGATCAGGCCTGGATGGAGGGAGAGAGATGGATGTAGGAGGGAAACGGATACAGGGCATGTTTCAGAGGGAGGACAACTTGCCCTTGGGTCTGTCTGGGTTCAATAAAGAAGAACCAGATGGTAGTAGTTTGCACGAGGGTGTCCCCTGTAGGGTGGCACTGTTTGGGAGTTTAGGAGATACAGCCTTGCTAGAGGATGTGTCCCTGGGAGCAGGCTGGCGGATTAGAGCTGCGCTGTGCTTCCCATCTGTTCTTTCTGCTCCACGCTTGTGGTGAAAGACATGATCTCTTAGCTTTCTGCTCCTGCTGCTATGCCTGCCGCTTGTTGCCATGATGGACTCTTCTCCCTCTGCAACCAAAACCCCAAATCAAGTCCTTTCCATAAACCGCCTTTGGTCATGATATGTGAGCACAGCCACAGAAAGAAACTAATATAGAAGTCGATGCCAAGAGTGTTGCTGAGAAGAGCCTGACCATGTTCTTTTGTGGATGAGTGTGGAAGACTTTGAAACTTTGGACTGGAAAAACAATTTAATGCTTTAAACCAAACTTAACGGGCCAACCTAGCAGGAGCCTGGAAGACCATAGTACTGAGAGGCCTCAGGTTTCAGAGGGAAGCAATGACTTTACCAGCAACGGGGTCGACAACCCCGTGTGATATATTGACAAAGAATCTAGCTGCCTTCTACCCTTGTCCTAAGAACTTGGCTGAGGTTAAACCAAAAAGCAACAGAGGAATTTTATAGTGGAGAAAAATTCCAAGACTGAATAATGTTGAACCTGTAGTATGCCTGTTATTGATATGCTTATGCAGATCTGCAATGGAAAAGAGTGAGTGGGGCAGAAAGAAATAAGAAATGTACATTTTGGAGAGAAAAAGAGTCCCGGTAAGCTTAATGTTACAGCCAATGTATTTGCTGGAAGAGAGACTGTAATTGTTAAGGCCACGTAAAGTTTACAACTTGTATGTTTCTACTCCTAGAAATAAGCTGCCAAGGAGAGCTGCTGCTAATGTGTTCAAGGAGTGAGGGGCCATTCTGGCTTTAGAGGCATGAAGGGCACAAGAGTGAAAGGGGTCACAATTCTTTCTCTGACATTTCAGAATGCTGAGACCAGGCAGTGTGTGGCGGAGGGAGTCCCTGTGCAAAGGCCCTGAGAGAGGGAAGAAGGACCTGACAGGCCATTGAGTGAGGCTGTGAGAGGGAAGCCTGATATTGGAGATGCCAAGGCTGTGAGACAGCTGCCAAGGAAAGCTGCAGAGGTAGAGGAAGCAGCCCAAGAGAGATGTATCTTGCAAGCTTCAAAGCTTGAGGGGCAGAGCTATCCAGCGCTCTGATACCAGACATGGAGCTATGGGATTTGGTATTCCCACTGCTGGGTGCCGGTCTTGCTTTGGTTTAGTATTCCTCCCCTTTGAAATGATAATGTACATTCTGTGCTAGTATATGCTGGAGTATGTAATTTGCTTTTTTAGTTTACAGAGGGTTACAATGAAGAGATTGCCTTGAAGCTTGGGTGTGGTGGCATACACTTTTGATTCCGGCGCTTGGGAGGCAGAGGCAGGGAGATCTCTGTAAGTCTGAAACCAGTCTGGCCTAAATAATGACTTTCAGGCCAGCCATGGAAACATTGTCTCAAAAACAAAACAAACAAAATACAACAACAATAAAGATTAACAAAACAAAACAAAACCAACCAGCCAAACGAACAAAAACTTCGCCCCAGTCTTAGAAGAGATTCTGGTCTTTAAACAGTGTTGAGACTGTGAAAGACTATGGAGACTTTTGACATTGGATTAAATGCATTTTGCATTAAAATAAGGCGACTGGCTTATGAGGGCCAGAAAGTAGAATGCAGTGGCTTGAGGGAGAAATGTCCCCCACGTGCTCAGGCATTTGAACAGTTGGTCCCCACTGATGACACTGTTTGGGGATAGTTAGGAGGTGCAGCCTTGCTGACAGAAGTGTGTCCGCCGGGATCAGGCTCTGAGAGGTCATAGTGGACTTCCGGTTTGTTCTTTCTGCTTCCTGCTGGCAGTAAAAGATGTGATCTTTCAGTCTTCCTGCTCCTGCTACTATGCCTGCTGCTTGCTGCCATGCTTCTCTGACATGGCAGATTTGTCCCTCTGCAACTATAGGTCCAAATAAAGGCTTCTATAATCTGCCTTTGGTCATGGCGTTTTAGCACGACAACAGGAGGTAGCTAATAAGAATGTGAAGATGCCTATGGAGAGAAGGGCCACAGAGGTGGGTGGTAGTGCTCCCCGGAAGGAGCAGGCTTTTTAGCAAGAACTAAGCGTGAATATAGGGATCTGTTGCACGTGGGACACTCTTTAGACATGCAGGAGATGTACTCTGGAGGTAGGGAAGTCTGGGGTCTAGAAGGCTTTGGCTCTTGAGGCTCTTTTCTTGCTGGTACATTCATTAGCCCATCCTCCACCTTCATTTCTCTATTTGACCCTGACTCCTCCATTTCCAGATAGCAACTGAGCAATATGCGTCTCTGAAGCCAGAGTAACAAGGACATTATCTTCAAATCTGAGCTTTATCAGTCAGCCTTGAAAGCAAGAATTTAAATTATAGAGAGGTTAATGTGTGTAAGGACCCAAATCATGTGACAGAGCAGTTTTGTCGTATTTATTGCACACATATGGCTTACACATTTGTTTGTTTGTTTGTTTGTTTTTTCGCTAGACATGCTTCTTGTCCATTGGGCCTCAGAGGCTTATGTAGACCAGGCTGGCCTCAAACTCGGAGAGATCTGACTGCCTTTGCCTTCAGCGCTGTGAGGAATGTGTGGGCCATTACACTCAGCAGGGAGAGAGAAATGTCTAAGGAATCCAACTTAACAAGGTCCTTCAAAAGGAAGAGAGGCTAAAGGTTCTGACCCCTGGCAGTTCCAGAAGGAGGCCCCACAGTCCCAACTTGAAAATCTTTGTGGCTTGGGGCACTATCTGTGGCTTCAGCAGCACAGAGGAATCCTGACAGGAGAGAGGTGGTGGCGGCGGTGGCGGTGGCGGTGTGTGTCCCCAAGAACTTCGGTATAATCTGGGAAGAAAGAAGTCTAGTGGAAGAGACCTATATTGAATTTGTTGAAGATGGGAGCTCCCGGAAGGAAAGAATCTTTCTGTCTTATTTTATGTGCATTGGTGTTTCGCCTGCATGTATGTTTGTGTGAGGGTGTCAGATCTTGGAGTTCAGATAATATGCTCGGTTTAAGGGCAATACAGAAATCAAATATTTTGGGGCTGGAGCATGTCTCAGCGGTCAACAATGTGTCCTTTTTTTTGTAGAGGACTTGAGTTTGGTTCCCAGCACCCATCTCTGGGGCCTCATAACCACCTGTAACTCCAGCTCCAAATGTGTCTGACATCTTTGGCCTCCTGGAGCACAGCCACAAACACATGCAATTATTAATAATAATTGTATTTTTTTGAGACAGAATCTAACTATGTAGCCCTGACTGGATTGAAACTCACTATGTAGACTAGGCTGGCCTCAAACTCACAGTGATCCTCCTGCTTTTACCTCCTGAGTGCTGGGACCAAAACCATGAGCTTGTTTTCCTTCCTTCCTTCCTTCCTTCCTTCCTTCCTTCCTTCCTTCCTTC